ATAGCTCAGCTCAAAGATGGATACATAAAAGGAGATAGGACGAAGCACATTTTTGCCGAAGTTCTTCTTCACTCATGAATTACAGAAAGCCGGAGAGGTTCAAGTCGAACAAGTTGAATCATGTGACAACTCGGCGGATCTATTCACCAAGTCGCTTCCAACCTCAACGTTAAAGAAGCTTATAAAGCAAATTGGAATGCGCCGGTTGAAAGATATTTAGTGAGCTTCTAATAAGGGGGAGTAATACGTGTTGTACTCTTTTTCCTTCACCACGGTTTTATCCCAATGGGTTTTCCTGGTAAGGTTTTAATGAGGCAACATTCCCAAGCGTATTACTAGCTCACGACGGTTATGACATCCAAGGGGGAGTGTTATAAATCATAGTGGATTGTCATAACAAGCCCAGTAAAGCCCGGCCCATATCAAGCCCGGTCCGGTCCAATGTTATGGAGGTTTAACCTTTTCCTAGTTGTATTTGGGTTTACTCATAAACTCCTTGTATGAACCTATATATATATATATATATATATGACTCTTGGCTAATGAATAAAGAATCCCAATTCTCTCTCTATTCTCTGTAGTCTATAACAAGAAGTAAAAGTAAGACACAAGTTCCGTACATGAACTCATTACAATAACAAAAAACATCAAAAATAATAGTCTTATAGCCTTTGATTTATGAAGGTTAGAAGAAAATGTGGTTGATTATACGGATTAGAGATCAATGAGTGGTTTATTTTATTTTATTTTTGTGTTTAACTTCAAGATATATAAGAAAGAAATGTATTGTAATGCTGTCATGAATTAGAATGGTGTAAATGTGAAATAGGTATATAAAGCCATGTGTGATGAAACGTGTCTTTCGAAACAACTTCTCCATTATTAGTCACATAGTGGCTTTCTATGTATATGTTTGATCAAATTGTCTTAAACTTTTATGATGAAATGGTTTTGTTGGTTTGTTAGTTTTGGCTGTAAAGAGGGAAATGAATCCACTGAAGACACATGACAGCGACATGGGAACTATTCCACAGATCCATAGCAAGTTTTCTTTGAGTTATTACAAAGTTTGTGGATTTTTCTTATTTGCAAGAAATAATTTCTATATCTATTCAACCCCATATATAAACTGAAAATTACCAAGTTTATCCCAAATCAGGGGAAATATAATTGGTTTAACCCTCAATCTTTCCTCATTATTAGATTGACACAAATTTTGTGTTAAAAGTCCAAAAACCATTACTTAATCTACAGCTCTTATTATTTAAAATTTTGACGATAATTAAGGCAAGTATAAAAAAAATCTGTCATATCAATACTATTAAACAAAAAGCGATTTGAACCTGTTGCCAAACAAAAACATTTAAATGTTTGTATCAATACTATAGTATAAAAATCTTAAAACTGTTGCCAAAGAACTCAAAAAACGGATAAACGCGCGGATCTTTTGACCCGCTAATCAAACTTGATAATTTTATGTTCTAATCTTCGCCGTTCGTTTATAAGTGGAAGCTTCCAATCCTCACCGTTTGATTTTTTTGCCGAAAATCTTATATTTTCATCTCAGTCGTTCGTTTCAAGCAAGAAGCTTTTAATCCTCACTGTTTTTATTAATTACAAACAATACAACTATTTGGGCCTTTTTATCAATTTTTTTTTTCGGCCTTATAAACGCAACACAAACATGGCCATATAAACTCGTGCTCTAATGTACTAGAGAGGAGACCTGCGCGTTGCGCGGGGTTGTTCGCTATGAATTTTTCCTTAATTATTTTTTATTTGGTGTTATATTTTTTGATTAACGATTGAATGTATATCTTGTGTCGTATTTGTTTGGCTATATTTGAATTTTTTTTTCATATTCAGATATTATAATCTTATAATATTAGTTATTCATTTGTGTAGTGCTCTTGTTACTCGTATTCCAATTAATGTTTTTGGTTTTGTTTGGACGCATGTATTAATATAGTTAGATTAAAAGCTTTACCTTAAAAGGAAAGTGTAACGATAAATCATTTTTTACTCTTTTATTTTATTTTTTCCTTTTCTATTGTCATATTTTTATATTTGACTAAAAATTAATTTATCAAAGTTGGAGTGTACTTTGTTTGTTAGGTCGTTTTTATCTATTTGAACTTAGGTCTTATCAATAGAGATTCTCGAATTTTTAAATATTAACCCATGGCATAATATTTTTTTGTTTAAATATTTTGTAATTGAGCATTCACTTATGACATGTCCTGCCAAGATTTAAGAGTTGATCTAAATTTTAGATAGTTTACTTACTTTTTAAAATTTATTTTACTCGATGGGATCCAACATTTCTACTTTTTTTTGTTTACTTTGCATAAACCTTATTTAGTCAGACGATGCCATTGTAATCAACGGTTTAACCTGGATGGGATATTCAAGCATGAAGAGATCTCAATCCAGCAAAGGAGGATGCCAACACCATTTTCGATTTTATTTTATCTTTTGTTGTAGGCATTATGCTTTATTTCGTTTTCACCATATTTTTGATCTAGCAGTTCTCAAAGATAGATTTTACAATTTTAGTTTTATTTTATCTTTAATACGAAAATTTTGATTTTTACCTCAAATTGAGATTTTAATGTACTTCAACATTTTATTTCCTCGTGTTTGGTAAATCACATTTTTAGAGGGTTGGACTTCATCTGTGGCATTTATGGAGCACGATTTGGTGGTAATAAAAACAAATATGTAGCATATACATTTTGTCAGAAAATTAGCCTTTTTTAGTATGGAGAGCTTATATATTGTATTGTTGTAGAACTCATAAGATTAATATAACAAATTGATTATTTTACGTTTATAGAAGATGGAATATAATGTTCTATAATCTTTCAAGTTTTTTTGCACCAGAAACAGTGCAAAAAGATTTTTATATATTTCAAGATTTTCTGATTTCACAAAAAAAAAATACAACCATTACAATATATTTTTAAATTATTATTTTTAAAAATTTGAGTCAGGTTATCATTTACTTTTATTTAAATGAAATTTTTAATAATAAATAAAAACTCTTTGTAGTATATCATTCTTTGAATCTAATAGTTTGGTTATAAATCTAATATTTATTGTCATATAGTTTTTTTTACTCTACCAGCATTTAATATTTTTCTTCCATTATAAATCTCATTAACACATTAAATCATTGGAAATGTGATCATTACTAATAACATTTTAACAATATTTCTTTTAGGATTTTTAAATTTTATTTATTTAGTTTTTTTCTTAGTTTAATTGTTTCCTATTTAATAAAATTTCTATCAATTATGAGTATATAAATATGCATTAAATAAACATTTGAAATATACTTAATTTTTAGAAAATGGAGAGAGATAAAGATTTAATTTGGGCCTTACATTACAAACTAAACAGGCCATGAAAGATAAATATATGGGTCTAAATTATTTTTTTGGTTAGACACACAAAAAAAAAACGATGCTGATGTCGCAGCTTTAGAGGGAGAGAGAACTCTCCCATTACTGTATATATATAGATTCGTTTTTCCCGGATCATTGTTTTCCGAATTTGTTAGCTACCGTAATTTTGCTTCTAAATATTTGCGTTTAATTAAATTGATCAAGGAATGGAAATAATCTTCAATCAAATCTTAGTCGTTATTATTAGATACCAAATTTAAAGGTATCCTACATATAAATAAGTCGTGATTACCCCAAACGACAATATTTTCTTATTCTTTAATATTTAACCCTACAAAGTTCTCACTATGAAGAAGAGAAAAGAAGCCGATAATAATCATTCAATTAACATTTCTAAACAATCAAAAAACAGGAAGCTGTCTACAAATGTTTGTGGAAATGAGAATATAATTCATACCCTGCTGTGCTCAAACATTACCAGATCTGAAGGCATTGTGAAACCTGATTATCGAAGAGTTCTAAATGGTATTACTAATCGTCAATCTTTAGTTAGTTCTTCTATTACTAATTCAGGTAACAAGTGTATTTACCATTGTTTAACGATTGAATTATGTTGATATATTTTCCTAACATATAACCCTTATTTGGTTGTCAGTAGGTATTGGTTATAGGACACCGAGTCCTACCTTACTTAAAAACTACCTTCAAAGAGATGATAATGAAACCACAACTATTCAAAGAAAAGGATGTGGGAAAGAAAATAAGTCGCCAAGGCCATTTTGTTCAAGCTCACCCAATTCCGTTGTAACCGTTAAGTCAGTATTCCAAAGAGTTCTTAATGATATTACAAATCGCCAACATTCAGTTATCTCTCCTCCTTCTAATACAAGTGTTAACTACAAAGATATTTCATTAAGAGATAAAGTAATTTTTATTCATAATCATTTTATTAAACTCATTTACATATTTCTTTGTCAATTAGGTATTGTTTATCGAACACCAACTTCTACACTACCTATTGACCACCAATATATCAAGGAGAAGGAAAACCTAGCTATCTTAACCAATGGTGAATTATTTTCAAACATTAAGCATGTCATATTCCGTATATAGGCACTCACTGACATGCTTACTGTTTCTTTTTTTTGTAATCATATATAACTCTTACAAAATTTTTGTAATCATTTACATAATCTGTTACAACGATTCATCACGGAATATCTGGTCATGTGAAATCATTATCAGTTAATGGCAATTCTTTTGCCATTGAAACCTCTCTGAGACTAACACATATAAAAAAATAGCCAGACAAATCCACATCAGCGCAGGTACAGTTTAAATTAGCCTTCAATCATTATTCTGATGTATCATTATATTTATATTTTGTTCAAATTGTTTTTTAGATCAACTTCATGAAAACTTTTACTCTCCTACCTACAACTAAATATCATCATACAATGGTGCACTTTCAGATATTACTAATATTACAAATAGTACTATACATATCGATAAGGAGGTTCCATTATGTTCACCTAGCGCAAATATATTAACGATGGATGATTCTATTGGTATTTCAGAATTAATCCTATTATGTTATTTACTATCAATAAGAACATCACGTAACCATTGCAATTCACCAACTGTAAGCGACATGGCACGATACTCTGACTCCGCAGAGGACCGAGAGACGACATTTTGCTTCTTACTTTTCAATGAGATGGGCGAAGAACCAAGCGTAATAAACCAAGAACCCAATGAGCGACGAGTTAAACGACAGCCCGCATAGCCAGCATCGCACCATCCTTTGAGCTGTAAATCAGAATCAGACTTCAACAAAATTCCTTTCCCTGGTGTGCCTTTCAAGTAGCGAACAACACGCAAGGCACTCTCCCAATGTTCTTGTCTTGGTTCTTTCATGAACTGAGAGAGTATGTGAACCGAGTACGTTAGATCAGGGCGAGTGGCGAGCAAGTAAACTAAGCGTCCAACCAAACGCCGATAGCACTCCGGATCATCGAGTATACGACCAGTCGCCAAAGCAAGCGTATGTTGTTGTTCAATCGGAGTCATAGCCGGCTTTGAATCAAGAAGTCCTACTTCTGTTATAATATCAAGCGTGTATATACAACGATTAATTTCTCTTTAAGTGTCCCCTAATATTTTGAAAAATTTTCAGGAAGAAAGGAATCCAATGTGTGGCCGTAGGTAAAACTGCAAGGAAATTTCTTAAAGAGTGGACATATCTTTTGTTCGAGTCAAACTTTGTGGATAGACCTATAATGTGTGTTCTTCGTTTCTGGAGAATTACTGAATTTGAAGGTAAGTAAGCTTGATCCACAAACTTTAAATTTCTATGTATGCAATAATAATGAAAGAATAATGAAATCTTTTTACTTGGTTCTCTTTATTGAATAGGTAATTCATGTACTATGTCTCAATATGGATCTTCTAGAATTGTTTTGGACCAATAGTATGACGAAATGCATCTAGGCACTTTACTGTGAGTTCATTTATGTTTCTGTTATATTAGTAGTATATAAACTTATACACACTCACATTACTTATATTTTTATAGTCTCATTGAAACAAACCCAATGGAGTATCCATTTTTCAATATTGTGTTTTTCTGAACATATAGGGGAATTGAAGGATTGGCTCAGTATACTTGGCAACCACCTAGCGATGAGGATGATGATTAATAGTTTATTATTTCTGTTTTATTATCCTATGTTTTGTAAACTTTTTTTTCTATGTTCTAGACTATTTTTAAAATTTACTAGGTTTGTTTGAATTTGATTGAAAAACCTTTAAATATAATTGTGTCATTTAAAAAGTTTATATATGTCATGATCTAAATCAAGTGATCATGACAGAAAATTTACACATCTATGGGCAAGTTAATGTCATTTGTAACAAGTATTGGGCCCGATGCCACCTATAAGATCCATACGATCAGCGGACCTTCATATAAATTACGAAGATGTTAGTTTTACACCACAAGCCATACAATCTCTGCTACCAAACTGTCAGAGATTTGTGACCAAGCGACTGAGTTATATAAATCGTATTAGTTTTCGAATTGTATTTATCTGCACAATGTATCTTCTACTAAACCGAGTTATATAAATCATATTTATCAATACCATAAACACAGAAATTTACTTAACTGAATCGCCCGTGCTGTGGCACGGGTTACTACCTAGTATATATATATTAGATCTGCCGTTAAACAATAATAAAACAGTTAATCTAATATTTTCAATTGATTTATCCAAAAAAAGATACAGAAAATATGTACCATATTTCTAGTATCTTTTTTTTTTCAAAAGTACCACAATTTTATTTTCTTCCAAAAATACTACAAAATATTTGTTTTACCAAAAATACCAAATATACATAAACTTAATTTTAAAAGGCGTAGAATTGTTTTTAATGTTTGGGCTAACTATTTATATTTAGGGTATAGTTTTAAGAGGTGGATTTAGTGTTTACGATTTAGAAATTAAGTTTTAAATGTTAAGAAACTTAGTTTTCTTTCTGTGGATTTTATTTTATAAATATCCTCAATTTGTTCCTAATTGATTATATTATAGTTTTTTTCACACATATTAAGAAAACATCTAAAATTGGATAATATTTTGCATCATTGTTTGATTCAAAGTTTTTTTAAATTCTAAACCAATACTATTTAGTTATTTACCTTGAAATTTGTAAATCGTAATTAATAATGCATTAATAACTGTTGGTGTAGGAATTAGCACCAACGACATACCGGCCTAAACCAAGACGGAATCGAATTAAACCAATAAATCGGGGAATCCCGGTTTATTGTCCAATTATTGCAAAGGGTGCTTCATTCCTAAAATGGAATAGACGACCTCGGATCATTAGGGTTTCGCAAACCCTAATCGAATATTTATGACAATATCTTCCGAAAATCTAAGGAAGAGGAGCATTTATTGTAACCCTAAATCCCTTGTATAAATAGAGAAGATATCTTTATTCTAGGGCATCGATCATTTAATAACAAAAACCCTAATTCCTCACTTGTTCTTGAGCAAACCCTAAATCGTTCATTTCTAGGTCAAGTGAATCCTTTTAATCCGTTTCAATTCGAGTTCTTGAGAGATTGTTCAAAGTGAATTTATTCTCCTTTCCTTAATAAATTCATTGTGTGAACCCTTGGTTCAACAATTGGCGCTAGAAGGAGGGGGGGAATTTTTTCCTTTCTAGAAAGCATTTTCAAAAGTAACACTTCTCTCAACTCGGTTAACGAAGCAATCCACCTCGAGATGTCTCAGCAACTCGGCCCTGTTGACTCACGTCCAAACGAGGAGCCCGACGAAGAGCCCCTTACTAACGACTCGACCTTCAACGAAAGGATCGAGGAAGAAGTCCGTCAAATGGATCTCCCGGCACCAGTCGAAACCACCGAGCGTCCTCAAACTGGCGAAGTGGAAGGCAATACGACCGCCCCTCGAAGGTCCGAAGGTCAGCCCACGGACGAGCCACAACTCGCTCAGGTCGCTCCAGCGGGCCCACCGGTTCAGCAAACCGTATCCATGGACGACCTGCGCATAGTGTTCGGAAGCATGACGAAAGACATCTACGACCGAATCGCGGCAGCCGACCACCGGATGGATACGAT